TCCCACACACTGTAAATTACTGCACCAAAAACAATCCAATTGAACAAGTGACACTTCTATATTAACTTCATACTTCATGGTCATGCACTTAGTGTTTCAGCTTATAGAAGGGGTTGGGGGGAAGGGGCTGAAGTAGCTGAGGGGGGTTTCAGAGCAAGTGGGGATGTGGAATGAGACTGGGGAAGTAGAGAGACAAAAGGAGGGCATGCAGGGAGAGCAAGGTAGGGGACATGGAAAAAAGGGGCAAACAGGGGCAAAGTAGAAGGTGATAGGGAGGCCAGAAGTCACTGCATGTAAATCAGCAACCCTTGGTCACCTCCTCTGCTCTGTTGGACTATAGGGTGTAAAACTACATTGCTCAGCTCCCGTGCAGCTTTCCATGATGCCTTGAAGGGAGAAGAACCTTCTCTTGCATTTCTAGCACATGGAAGGTCAGGCTGCCGGGCTTTGAAAATCCCCAGCAATAAGGTACAGTGACACAGCAGGGTCTCCCCCGGCACCAATTTTAAAGAGTGGTATTAAAGATCTCACATTTCTACAGAGAAACAGGGAGCTGTCCTTGCCCCGGTCTATTCCTTTGCAGAGCTAACACACAGGCCTTGTATAATCACAAACAAACAGTTCATGCTGATTTAGAGGATGTTGTCAAATGTTTCATTAATTTCCCCAACACATACATGCACAATAGCACTTAATAGTGCTAATACACAATTTAAATAAATCCTTTCCATAGTCAGTTCACTGGCATTTGGGATGAGGAGTTTCCTTAGCTTCCCTGCTAGGGTGCTTCACATCCAGCTGTTTGATGAGAATTGATATACGTGTCCCAAAAGTCAATAAAGCATAAGCTTGGAGCAGAAGAGATAACACAGATAAGTAATTAATTAGGCCAGGTCTACACTACAGACTTAGTGGTAGAACTACATCACTCAGGAATGTGAAAAATCCACAACCCTGAGCGACATAGTTATAACGACCTAACCCCCAGTGTAGACAGCGCTATGTTGGTGGGACAGCCTCTTGCAGAAGTGAATTAACTATGCCAATGGGAGAAGCCCTCCCATCAGCATAGGAGCATCTTCATTTAAGCACTACAGCAGCAAAGCGTGGCATCAACACTGCTAAGTGTGGACCTGCCCTTCGTCACAGTAATTGGATAAGTCCATAAATGCAAGTAGGGCAGACATAACTGGGAAGTAAACTTGATATAAAACAGAACAGGAACTTAATTCACTGCTGGCTATTTAAAAAATGATGTGATTCTTGTGGCTTTTCAAACGGATGCATTTCTTCACCAACACTGACATGAGACTCAGCTGGAAACATACAATATTTCAGTTTCTGCTGCTTGGCAAATTCGCTTGCTCTTCTAAAAGCTGATCTCTTTAACCACATCTTTTGCAAACTCTCAAAACATCATCTTGTTTTCTTTTCTTTTTTCACAAGCTAGCTGCATTATTTTTTCTTTTACACTAAATTTGACAATCAGTGCACATGGTTTGGCATTTGAGGCTCACTTAGGTGCCAGGGATTGATGTGCTCTCTCTAAACCAAATTTAAAATCATCTAGCAGGCAGAGAACTTCTGAAAGGAGCTGGAGAACAAATTCTAAGGAGTTGCCTTTCTCTGTGCTCCTTCACGTACAACAATAAGTCTCAAATTATTGCGGTGAGACCTTCCCTACAGGTCTGCCACCTTAGCTTTAAGAGTAGGTAAGTCTGTAAGGCTTCTTTGCACCTGGGCAGAAAGACCAAGTACCTGATTTTCCACCAATGATATTCTCTTCTGCATCATTCACCTGTCCTGTTAGCACTAGCAGAGAGGAGTTAATTGGGGTAACAGTCAATTGTATTGTGGAGACAAAGTGGGAGAGGTAGTAGTTTCTTCTATTGCACCAACCTCTGTTGGTGAGAGAAACAGGTTTTCAAACTTTACACAGAGCTCTTCTTCAGGTATTGTGGCATTAATATTTACTGTATCTGCAGCAACTTTCTGCAGCACAGCCATCATAGACACAGTTCCCTGAGCAGCAACCATCTTGTTCAGATGGTGTGGGGCCTCTGTTCTCCTTGTTTTTTGGCTACATGTAGCGCTCCCTGTAGACAAATTTTTGCCTTCTGACATTCCAGAGATTTTGGGGTACCTGTTCCTTTATTGAGGGAGGGTTGGTCAGAGGCCCTGGATGGAAATGGATATTAGGGGATGGCTCTGGAGCTTAAAGGATGTGGTTTTCCATGATGCACAGAGCTCCCTGAGGTCCAGTGACAATTTTTAAATTAAAAAAAAAACAAACACATCTCTTTTAAACTTTTATTATCCAGTAATATGCCCCAATCCTGCAAGCTACTCCATGCAGGCAGGTCCCTATACACACACATTTCCTCACTGACATCAGTGGGGCTCTGCATTGAGTGCAAGGGTCTACCTGATAGAGCAGTTTACAGGACTGGGACCTGAGCTAGGAGACTGTTCCAATGGAAGACTTATTCAGCTGTTTTGGGGTTAGTAGAGAGCCCAAAACATATTTTTTAAAAGTGATATATGACTTGATTAAGATGAGAAAAGGCATGTTTTTCTTTCTCAGCTAATTCAAACAAAGAATTTCTCATGCTTTTATCAAAATAAATCACATTTGGTCTGAGGCTAAATAGGTCTAAAAGGAGAAATGGTAAGAAAGCATGTTACTCTGGAAGTCTGAATATGTACTTCATTATGCAGGCTAACTTTTGAAAACAGAAAAGATATTACATATATAGAGATGCACACACCTATATTACATATAGAGGTACACCTATACCTTCTTCAAATACGTAATAATTTTACGCATACGCACCTAGCTAAGGTTGGACATTTTCTGGATAAAAAAAAATTCAGATTTATATTAGGATAAACATTTATAACAGATAATAAGCCTTTGTACTACAGGTCATGTAGATCAACCACTAATTGACCAGGGCAAGGAAAAAACTTCCCTTATGGACAGGTTATTTCATAGTGGTGATGAAGTTTCTTGCACCTTCTTCTGTAGCCATGTAGCGGAGCGACGACTCACCGGTGTGGCACCTGCTGCTGGTTGTCCTGGGAATTAGTTCTGTCCAGCTCCAGAGCACCCTCTGCTGGCTGATGTCTTGCTTGCATCAGGCCCACATGTCCCCCCTAGTCCCCGGTGTCCTTTACCTCAGGGTTCTGCCCCCAGCAGTAACCCACTGTCTGGGTCTTCCCTCCCATGGGAACCCCCAACCCTCTAGCCCCACCTTGCCTCAGTGGCTACTGCCAGTCATCATCTTGCCCCCAGTCACTGGGGCAGACTGCAGTCTCTAATGGCCACTCATCATTGGCAAGGAGTTAGGACCTGCTGCTTTGCCTATCCTTGGGCTGTCCCTCTGCAGCCCCAGTACCTTTTGGGCCCTTAACAAGGCCTGCAGCCTGGGGGTTTACCAGGCTGGAGCTCCCCAGCTCGCCTTGCCTTGCCTTGCCTTGCCTTGCCTTGCCTTGCCTTGCCTTGCCTTGCCTTGCCTTGCCCTGCCCTGCCCTGCCCTGCCCAAGCCCTCGCCCTCCAGGGCTGGAGAGAGACTCCTTCAGCTCCTGGACCAGAGCCCTCTTATAAGGGCCAACTGGGCCCAGATTGAGCTGGCCACAGCTGTGGCTGCTTCCCCAATCAGCCTAGCCTTTCACAGCCGCAGCCCTCTCCAGGGCTGCTTTTAACCCCTGTTCTTCAGGAGTGGGGCAGCTGTCCCACTACAAGCCTCTAGCACTGGTCACTGTCAGAGACAGGATACTGGATTAGATGGAGCACTGGTATCATCCAGAAGGTCAATTCCTATCTAGAATCAGGTCTATGCAAATTGGTAATGGGTTTCAGAATTCCTGAGAGGTGGTGAAGAGAGACAAAAGGACTGGCAACTTGGACAGCTAGATAAGTGGTTTGGCAGCTAAAGGCAGTAGCTTCTGCAAGGGCAATGTTGTTTGAGGGATAATGGTGTAAAAGAAATAGGGTATAAAACAAACCTTAAAGAAGTTAAAGAAAGTTAAAGAAAACTACTTAACTGATTATTCATACCGAAGGCACAGAGGTCTGTCACAGAGGTCATGGATTCTGTGACATTCCAGAACCTCTGTGACTTCTGCAGCGGCCGGTGTGGCTGACCCCTGGGCCAGCTACACCGACCACTGCAGGGGCAGTCTTGGGCCACCACACCCCCCACTCAGCATCAGCAGGAGTTTGAGTGTGGGAGGGGGCTCAGGATTGGGGCACAGGAGGGGGTGAGGGCTCTGGGTAGTGCTTACCTCTGGGGGGCTCCCCAGATGCAGCGACATTTCCCTCCCTCATCTCCTAGGTAGAGGTGCAGTCAGGTGGCTCTGTGCACTGCCTCAGCCTGCAGGCACTGCTCCTGCAGCTCCCATTGGCCACAGTTCCTGGCCAATGGGAGCTGGGGAGCTGGCACTTGGGGCGGGAGCAGTATGTGGAGTCCCCTGGTCGCGCCTCCACCTAGGAGATGAGGGACATGTCACCGCTTCGGGGGAGCTGCATAGAGCCGGGCAGGGAGCCTGCCAGCCCCGCCAACACTCCCCCTCAGCAGCAGCAGGGATCACTCCAACACTGCAAGGAGGGGTCAGTTAGGCATGCTCAGTCCAAAGCTAGGGGAAGGTCACCAGACCATAATAGTAAACAGACCATAATACTAAGACTTGTTATTGTTAGGTGAGAATAATTAAACATGAAGCAGTTACGCCAACCGAACCAAAGTCAGGCCAATAAAGGTTGCTGGGAAAGTCCCTGAACGAGATAAGTAGAATGAAAGAATACTTGTTCAAGTTGCAGAGAGTGAGATAAGGGGAGACCTACATTCCCTGTGCCAGATGTTCTGAGAACGGTTTGTTTAGATAAGGAGACACACTGTCTCCACTCCCTGTTTCTTTTCAATGTCTGTTCTTAACTCCTAATCTCCTGTTTGACAACCATACTGATAAGAAAGTTTGGTGAGGCATTATGACTTGCTAAAAGCTATATACAATAGGGGAATAGGTATGCATGCATAATAGAGAAAGAGAACTTTAACTAACATGGGGGGCAGGGTGGGCTGCTTAATGAATAATCTGTGATGCCACAGAACTGTCTATAAAAACCTACTAGTTTTACCTAAGAGGCAGCTGGTTCTCCTTGGAGACGGGCCGCTCTCTATTGTTGTGTGCACTCCTCAATAAAGAGCTTGTGTTTGGACCTTGCTGGTGTTGCCTGTCTCTCTGCGGTCAGACAACGAACCGTGCCGTCTGGGGTTCGAGTCCTCGACATTATGTAAAACAGCTTTGATTGACAGCCAGATTTAGCAGTTGCGATTGGACTATAAGTATGGACCAATTAGAGAGGGTTTAAAGATGATTGGAGGATAGAGGATGCTAATGTCAGGATTGGGAAAGAAGCCAATCAGAAAGGATCTAGTGGCTGGTAAAACTGAATGAAAGACAGGCATTCAGCAGGCAAAACTCAGTCAAGATAGGGAGCCAGGAGAAGATCAGATCAGAAGAAAGAAAGAAACCTAAAAGAGCAAAGAACACCAAAGAAGAAGACCTGAAAGAAGAAGCAGTAGCCACAGCAGCTGCAGTACCAGTGACAGAACAGAAAAGCCTTCGACAGAGCGAGGGAGAGAAGCCTATGGAGAGTAAGCATGCTAGTTATAGGGCAGGATATAGAATAGAAATAGGATTAATGAGTGTGTATATTTGGGATAATTAAGGTGGGTGTCAGTGCTGTGTATGTCTGTTACTATGTATAAAGTTTAGAGTTTAAGATTGCTGTTAATGTCCTGCATATGACTGATCACCATGCGCAGAACATAATTGTTAGGGTTCTTATTCCTTCACCCACTTACTTCCCTGGTCCTTCTCACATGAACAGAGAGCAACAATACCCGAAGTCCAAAGGTGCAAACAATTCAATGTTTATTGGGGTAAACTTCCAAAGCAAGCATGATTCCAGTTTCCTTCCTTAGTGTCCCCCTTCCCAGCTCTGACACCACAGAGGCTTACCTGTGTCCCTGTTCCCATTACCCCCTTTAGCAAAACATGATTCCAATTTCCCCACCCCCATTCCCTGTTCCCATTTCCCCCACCCACACACCCACCCACTTCCTGTATTGACTGTATAGTAAAACTTGAGTTCTGCTTAGCTATACCTTAACCAATCATTTTCCTGAAATTTAACTAACCAATCCTAACATATTGTAACATGATTATTTAAGAAAAGAAGTACTTGTGGCATCTTAGAGACTAACCAATTTATTTGAGCATAAGCTTTCGTGAGCTACAGCTCACTTCATTATATGCATTCAGTGGAAAATACAGTGAGGAGATTTATATACACACAGAACATGAAAAAATGGGTGTTATCATACACACTGTAAGGAGAGTGATCACTTAAGATGAGCTATTACCAGCAGGAGAGCAGGGGGTGGGAGGGAAGAAAACCTTTTGTAGTGATAATCAAGGTGGGCCATTTCCAGCAGTTAACAGGAATGTCTGAGGAATAGTGGGGGGGTGGTGGGGGGAATAAACATGGGGCAATAGTTTTACTTTGTGAAATGACCCATGATGGCATATATCACATTGGTGAATAAGCCTCTGATAGTGTGGCTGATGTGAGTGGAAATCTATCGACTTCATGAAAAAACTCGTACAGATACAAACAGACATCGTCTTCCTTTCCAAATGCAAACAGATGGACATCATACCAAAAGGACTGAAGATAAAAAATCCATTACAATCTACATACCACACAGACTATGCTGACAGCTTGTGCCACACACTCTCAAAGAAACTGAGGAACCACCTGATCAACATCCTCTACAGCAAACAGGGAAAGATTAAGAATGAGCTCTCAAAACTGGATACTCTCATAAAAAAACAATCTTCCACACAAACTTCCTCATGGCTGGACTTTACAAAAACTAGACAAGCCATTTACAACACACACTTTGCTTCTCTACAAAAGAAAAAGGACACTAAACTATCTAAACTACTACATGCCACAAGAGGCCACAACAATGGTTCCCTTAACCCACCCAGCAATATTGTCAATCTATCCAACTATACTCTTAGCCCAGCAGAAGAATCTGTCCTATCTCGGGGCCTCTCCTTCTGCCCCTCCACCCCCACGAACATGGTACAGTTCTGTGGTGACCTAGAATCCTATTTTCGATGTCTCCGACTCAAGGAATATTTCCAACACACCTCTGAACAACATACTAATCCACAGAGACCTTCCTACCAACACTACAAAAAGGATTCTAGGTGGACTCCTCCTGAAGGTCGAAACAACAGACTGGACTTCTACATAGAGTGCTTCCACCTACGTGCACGTGCTAAAATTGTGGAAAAGCAGCATCACTTTCCCCATAACCTCAGCCATGCAGAACACAATGCCATCCACAGCCTCAGGAACAACTCTGACATCATAATCAAAAAGGCCGACAAAGGAGGTGCTGTCATCATCATGAATAAGTCAGAATATGAACAAGAGGCTACTCGGCAGCTCTCCAACACCACTTTCTACAAGCCATTATCCTTTGATCCCACTGAGGGTTACCAAATGAAACTACAGCATTTGCTCAAGAAACTCCCTGAAAAAGCACAAGAACAAATCTGCACAGACACACCCCTGGAACCCCAACCTGCGGTATTCTATCTGCTACCCAAGATCCATAAACCTGGAAATCCTGGGGGCCCCCATCATCTCAGGCATTGGCACCCTGACAGCAGGATTGTCTAGCTATGTAGACTCCCTCCTCAGGCCCTACGCTACCAGCACTCCCAGCTATCTTTGAGACACCACTGACGTCCTGAGGAAACTACAATCCATCGGTGATCTTCCTGAAAACACCATCCTGGCCACTATGGATGTAGAAGCCCTCTACACCAATATTCCACACAAAGATGGACTACAAGCCGTCAGGAACAGTATCCCTGATAATGTCACGGTGACTTTGTCCTTACCCATAACTATTTCACATTTGGGGACAATGTATACCTTCAATCAGCGGCACTGCTATGGGTACCCGCATGGCCCCACAGTATGCCAATATTTTTATGGCTGACTTAGAACAACACTTCCTCAGCTCTCGTCCCCAAATGCCCCTACTCTACTTGTGCTACATTGATGACATCTTCATCATCTGGACCCATGGAAAAGAAGCCTTTGAGGAATTCCACCATGATTTCAACAATTTCCATCCCACCATCAACCTCAGCCTGGACCAGTCCACACAAGACATCCACTTCCTGGACACTACGGTGCTAATAAGCAATGGTCACATAAACACCACCCTATACCGGAAACCTACTGACCACTATTCCTACCTACATGCCTCCAGCTTTCACCCAGACCACACCACATGATCCATCGTCTACAGCCAAGCTCTATGATACAACCGCATTTGCTCCAACCCCTCAGACAGAGACAAACACCTACAAGATCTCTATCAAGCATTCTTACAACTACAATACCCACCTGCTGAAGAGAAGAAACAAATTGACAGAGCCAGAAGAGTACCCAGAAGTCACCTACTGTGTCCACATATCTATTCAGTGGATACCATCATAGGGCCTAATCACATCAGCCACACTATCAGAGGCTCGTTCACCTGCACATCTACCAATGTGATATATGCCATCATGTGCCAGCAATGCCCCTCTGCCATGTACATTGGTCAAACTGGACAGTCTCTACGTAAAAGAATAAATAGACACAAATCAGACATCAAGAATTATAACATTCATAAACCAGTCGGAGAACACTTCAATCTCTCTGGTCACTCGATTACAGACCTAAAAGTCGCAATATTACAACAAAAAGACTTCAAAAAACAGACTCCAAGGAGAGACTGCTGAATTGGAATTAATTTGCAAACTGGCTACAATTAACTTAGGCTTGAATAGAGACTGGGAGTGGATGGGTCATTACACAAAGTAAAACTATTTCCCCATGTTTATTCCCCTCCCTACCCCCCACTGTTCCTTGAAGGGTTCATGTAGCGTTCATGCACCTGGAAACAGTCAGGGCACACCCTGACTGTTGTGTAGGAGCGATGCACACATTGCTCTGTCCAAGGACATGGACCATGGGAACATGGACCATTGGGAAGTCAATTAAAGGACATCAACCGTGGGAAGCTTCCTTGGCCTGGGCTCAAGGCCTGAGAACAAAGATTGTAGTAGATAGAGGGTGGTAAATAAGAATATTAATCAAAGTCATATTATTTCCTTTGTTGATGCCTTTTGTGGTGGAAGTATGTAATGCGCAGGGGGAGAGAAATAAAAGAGAGGTGGAAAAGCCAACAGGAGGAATCCCGTCAGCAGACCAGCCTGCTTGCTTGCCTAAAGCCGTGTCCTGTCTTGTATTGAACCGCCACAACTTGCGCCCAAATGTGGGGCCCTCAGCACTCACCTCGCCCGGCAAGGGTTTCAGACGCGTCACTCATCCGCTTCGCGGATCCCAGTGAGTATTTTTCATTGTGGTAAGTATGGGAAGCTCCCTCTCTGCTTTGCAAGTGCAACACCACTGTGAGCTACAGTATTTGCTGTGTAAGGCTCAGCATGACTGCCCCACTCGAGAACTCACTCTCCTGCTACAGGAGGTGAGTGCCCAGTGCCCGTGATACCCTGAAGCTGGAACCCTTAAGTTAGCGGACTGGGAGTGGTTGGGCCAGACATTGCATAAAGAGCCTCGGGCGCCCGTGCAGGCTCTACATGCCTGGCGCATCTGCCGCAACGCGATACAGCGTGTCGCCTCGGACAGGCCCTCCCTCGCGAGGCTGGTGCTCTCGCCACTCCCGTCCGCTCCTGCAGCCATCCCCCCTCCTGGCGATGCGACACAGCGTGTCGCCTCGGAAAGGCCCTCTCCCACGCCAACAGAGGGGCTGCCGATCCCGCCACCCCCGTCCGCTCCTGCAGCCATCCCTCCCCTTGCTTCGCCCCCAGTGTCTCTATTACCACCGCCTCCCTGGCCTTCCCCACCGGAGCCGGTGTGTGATCGCTCTCCCCTCGTGGGGCCCCATGCTCCGGGGCCCCCCAGAGGGTCGTCCGCGTCTGCTCAGGGGCTTTCGCTGGTGCAACAAATGGTTCACGCAGCGAAGACTCGCTCAGATATTACAGCAGAGGAGCTGGCTGATCTGGTCTCAGTCTGTCCAGTGACCTGGCAGGATGATGGCCAGGGCAACCAGGTTGCAAACTGGGTCAGTTTGCCCTACTCGGTGATCAGAGACGTAAAGAAAGCGATTCGCGAGTTCGGCCTCACTAGCACATATGTAAGTGGTCTCATTGAAGGGCTAGGTACTGGGTACACCCTGATCCCTGAAGATTGGAAGGCGCTGTTGCGCATGATGCTGATGCCCAGTCAGTATGTTATTTGGCTTAGTGAGTATCGGCAGATGGCGGAACGCCAAGCCCAGGTATATAGAGAGCAAGGTATCATTTATGAGCACTTGGTAGGGGAGGGCCAGTTTGCTACCGTTCAGATGCAGTCTCAACTCCCTCAGGCTGTCTTCCCCATTATTTCCACCTGCGCCCAGCATGCTTTCCGGAAGGTCCCGGATTCGGGCAAGCCTACCAAAAGCTTTGCCAGTATCCGTCAGGGTGCGTCAGAGTCCTTTATGGATTTTACCAACAGATTGCAGGAGGCTATCCTCCGACAGGTGGATAGCCCTGCAGCAGCTCAGGAGATCCTGTTAAAAATGGCAGTTGAAAATGCGAATGAGGATTGCCGCCGTGCCCTCCAGGCGACAAGCCCTGGGATTCTAGAGCTGTTGGACATGCTGCGGGCGTGCCAAAACATCGGAACCCAAGCCCATAAGGCTGGAGTTCTGGCTGCTGCCCTGCGGAAAAGCGGGAAGGAAGGGAAGAGTTGTTACCGCTGTGGTAAGGAGGGTCATTTTCAGCGGGAGTGCCACTCATCAACGGCGCCCGCTTGCCCCTCAAAGAAGTGCCCCAAGTGTCGGAAGGGCTATCACTGGGCTAATCAGTGTCGTAGCGGGTCGGGAAACCGCGCGACGGGTCCCCCCCGAACCCAGGGCCAAACGGGGGTGTTTCCCACTCAGACAACTGTTCCTCTGCTTTAAAACCCATAGACTCCATGAAGGCGGCGACTGCCGGAAGTGCAGGGCTTGATTTGATTATGCAGGAGGACGCTGACTTTCGGTTGCCGGGGCAGGTTTGCGCCATACCTACCCAGATGACGGGACCTCTCCCTGCCGGATTTGTGGGTCTGGTTCTCCCTCGCTCACACGCTGGGAAACAGGGTTTTTTTGTCATCCCAGGGGTCATTGACGCTGACTACACCGGTGTTATTAAGGTTCAGGTATGGACCCATCTTCCACAGTCGCTCCCGCGTGGACGGTCAATTGCGCAATTGATTTTAGTCCCCTATCAGGTGCCAGCTGCAGAGGATCGAGCCCGGGGCGGAGGCGGCTTTGGATCGACGCTGGCTCAGTCGCCATCTCACAACACGTCCTCTCCACTTGTTGCTCTAACAATGTCGGTCCGCCCCTCAAAACCTCAGTTAACACTTCTCTTAAATAATGTTCCTTTTACAGGACTGGTGGACACTGGAGCTGACGTTACGGTGATTTGTGATCCGGAGTGGCCGGTCAGTTGGCCAACAGTTCCTTCTAAAGAGTTATGGGGGATCGGGGGTAGCAAACCCGAGCGCCAAAGTTTGTCTTGGGTCATGGTCTCTAAACCAGGAGGCCGTGCCCTTGCTACAATCCGCCCTTTTGTACTCCCTGTCCACCTCAATATTTGGGGCCGTGACTTACTTGTAAAGCTGGACACCACCCTCGATATTAATATATAATGGCCCGAAATCCTCCCTCACCCATCTTGCCATCCGCATTACCATTGGTATGGCAATCCTTAGAGCCTGTATGGATTGACCAGTGGCCCCTCCCCCTAGAAAAGCTGAAAGCGCTTCATTCACTTGTACAACAATATTTGCATGCACAGCACTTGGAGAGCTTCACTAGTCCTTGGAACTAGCTGCTGTTATTTTGGCCTTTCAACTTTTTGCTGATTGTCCCTTTAATCTGATCGTGGACACGCATTATGTTTATCAGGTAATTGATCATTTACCCCTTGCCCTCATCACCCCTCACATCAATGCGGACCTTCTTCGCCTGTTTTTGTCTTTACAGTATCTCATCATCACTCGTAATTTCCCTTATTTTGTCGCTCATATTCGCAGTCATACCCCTCTGCCTGGGCTACTTACTGAGGGCAATGCGCGCGCCGATCGCGCGTTACGTGGTGAGGTAAATTCCCTTTTTTCTGACCCCATTGAAAGCCATGCCTTTTTTCATCAGTCTGCCTCTGTTTTGCCCCGGCAGTTTCACATTCCTGCTGATCATGCACGTTCTATTGTTCGTTCCTGCCCCCACTGTGCCGCTGCTGCCCCTACCTTTTCTTATGCCGTTAACCCCAGAGGTACCGCAGCGAATCAGCTGTGGCAAATGGATGTCACTCACGTGCCACAATTCCGCCCCTATTCGTTTTTACATGTTTCCATTGATACCTATTCGGGATTCCTCTGGGCGACCCCACAGCGTGGAGAAGCCACTCCCAAAGTTATTCACCATTTGCTAGCCTGTTTTGCTGTTATGGGTCGCCTGGGCCAGATAAAAACAGATAATGCCCCAGCCTATTGCTCCACAGCCCTTTCCACCTTTTGTGCCCAATGGGACGTCCGTCTCACACACGGGATCCCTTACAATTCCACGGGCCAAGCCATTGTTGAACGTGCAAATTGCACGCTAAAAACCTTGCTTGACAAACAGTTAAAACAAGGGGAGCTGCGTCTCCGAACCTTAGGAGACATTCAGCAGCAATTGCATATCCTTTTGTTCACTTTAAATAACTTAACGCTGAACGCAGATCAGCAGACCCCTGCGGATCGGCATTTTCATAAATCCGAGGTACTGGAAAGACCGCGTGTCTATTACCGTCAGCTGCCCGATCCGCAATGGCTGGGTCCAGTACCTCTAATCACTTGGGGTCGGGGATATGCTGCTGTGTCTCTCCCTGCAGGACTGTTGTGGGTTCCGGCCCGGTGTGTGCGACCGGCACTGAAGCAGCATGGCATGGCACCAGGGGCTATCGAACCCCATACCGGAGTTTCAGCTGACCTTGGAGGAGAACGCGGTGCCTCCCGGGTCGACAACAGCGGGACGGAGACGGAGGAGACATAGCGTCCCAAGCCAGCCCATGACATGGGGAGCAGTAAAAGCATTGGTCGCCGCGGCTCAACGAAGACTGGCAGCAAACCAACAGCCAGAGACTCCTGAGACTTTGTTTGTGGCAATTCTCGCCCAAATTACTGCTAATTCTGTATTGATTGTATGCCTTTTGTGCCTGCTATTTCCTGTAGGGGTTGGCTCGGGAGCGCTTTCTCCGTTACGGGCCCGAATGACATATAACCTATGGGAAAGATTGGCTTCAATAGCAAATGTTACCTACTTTTGTTTATCTGATTCTGTAGCAGCTGGAGAATTGTTAGGTACATGCCTTATTCCAGTATGTCATCACCCTGAGGAAATAGGGAATGAGACGATGCTCGCTGCTTACGCGAATCTCTCTTCCCAGTACTCTGGCATGGCTAATTGGGGCCCGGCCAATTATACTTTGCCTCACATGGCCATATCCCTCCACACACCGTACCCGGCCGGGGCCAACAATGTCACCTGTGCGCGTGTGGTCAACTGCACTAGTACAAAGGTGCCCTTAGGCTGTCGGCAAATTTCTCAACCCTTTTTAAATTGTTCCCACGCCGTGAATGTTTCATACAATTATGGCCATATCATCCTACCATCAGCGTGGTTTTTTACCTGCGGCTCATGCACCTTTAGTTATATTCCCACAAATTTAAGCGATGACACCCTTTGCTGCCTCAGCAGAATGACACTCATTCTGCCTTTTGCCGGCCAAAAGCGCAGTAAAAGAGGTGTACCCCTTTCAGAAGACTGTGTTGCAGATGTTGATCTTTTTAGCCGCGCTGAGTATACCGCCTTAGCGGCCTCTGTTGTTGGAGTCCCCGGGCTTGCCACTTATACAGCCAGAACTTTGAATAACCTGGCGTGTTTTGCGGCAAAGGCAATTAATACAACATCCCAGGCGACTGCCCTACTTAACACAGAGCAACACGAATTAAGGGATGCAATTTTAGATAACAGAGCAGCCATTGATTTTCTGCTCTTGAAACACCATCTAGGCTGTTCCACGTTTCGGCATATGTGTTGCTTTAATTTAACTGATAATAGTCGCTCCATAGAAACTAGACTGGCCGAATTAGCCAATCTTACAGCACACATACGCCAAGATCTGGGGTTTGAGGGCTTTTGGAATTGGCTTACAGGTTGGCTGCCCTCTCTAGGATGGCTGCGACAACTTTTCGGTTATGCTGTGTTTGTGATTGTTGGGCTTATATTTTGCTGCTGCTGTATACAATGTATTCCCTCTTTGCTAAGGCTTTGTAGAGACCCACCCTGGCAGGCTCCCCAAGTTATGTCCTTGTCTGTCCGGGAGTTAAATCGCTTGCAAAAGCAAATTGATGGCTACCATGAGATGGCTGAGCACAAATAACAAAAAAAGGGGGGATGAAGAGTTCATGTAGCATTCATGCACCTGGAAACAGTCAGGGCACACCCTGACTGTTGTGTAGGAGCGATGCACACATTGCTCTGTCCAAGGACATGGACCATGGGAACATGGACCATTGGGAAGTCAATTAAAGGACATCAACCGTGGGAAGCTTCCTTGGCCTGGGCTCAAGGCCTGAGAACAAAGATTGTAGTAGATAGAGGCTGGTAAATAAGAATATTAATCAAAGTCATATTATTTCCTTTGTTGATGCCTTTTGCGGTCGGAGTATGTAATGCGCAGGGGGGAGAGAAATAAAAGAGAGGTGGAAAAGCTGACAGGAGGAATCCCGTCAGCAGACCAGCCTGCTTGCTTGCCTAAAGCCGTGTCCTGTCTTGTATTGAACCACCACAGTTCCTCAGACATTCCTGTTAACTGCTGGAAATGGCCCACCTCGATTATCACTACAAAAGGTTTTCTTCCCCCCACCCCCGGCTCTCCTGCTGGTAATAGCTCATCTTAAGTGATCACTCTCCTTACAATGTGTATGATAACACCCATTTTTTCATGTTCTGTGTGTATATAAATCCCTCACTGTATTTTCCACTGAATGCATCCGATGAAGTGAGCTGTAGCTCACAAAAGCTTATGCTCAAATAAATTGGTTAGTCTCTAATGTGCCACAAGTACTCCTTTTCTTTTTGCAAATACAGACTAACACGGCTGCTACTCTGAAACCTATGATTATTTAACCAGTTATATCCCACCCCCTTAATTAGTTTACACCCAGCAAAATTAATTATACAGCAGACAGAAACAATCACAGAACCAGACAAAGATTACACAGACAAACAATAGCGAAGTGGCAACTATAATGACAAAACAATACAGAAGTGAGGATTTTACATCCCAGCTATTGATAAGTGAGTTCTTGCCAGACAGTATGCTATCAAACTAAGTTTCCTTTGACATCTTCTAGGCACTTCCCTTTCTCTGGAGGTGATAGGCATTATCAGGACAGGATTGTATTCCTAACAGCCCAATAGCACCTTATTTCAATGTGACTAGGTTGGAATGTGAGGATGTGACTGGTTGCTTCCCAGCTTATGGCTGCCTCTGCTGCTTAGCCAAAGGCCTTAGCCTAAGAACAGGGCCTCAGACTGTCACAGTAAGAGAAGGCCCTTACACCGGCAGACGGTGATTTTGATTCTTTCTTTTATACCTCTATAACTAGCCAAGTGATAAGAATACACCTAAATTCTTCGAGTATAGGCCTTTACAGACAGGCCTGAATATCTATATCCTAACAATAATCACTTTAGCCTTTCCAACTGCATGACATTACAGTATTGGGTGCTTCAACTTGTATTCCTGTGCTGCATTATGTACAGTACTGATAATTTGTATAACGTATGCAACTTATATTCAGTGTTCAAAACTGGGATTTACATTTAATAGTTGAATTATTGCTGAACCAGTTCTTGTCAGTAATAATAAAAATGTTACTGTTTTGAAAAAGTACTGCCTGTGTGTCAATCCTCTGAGCGGAAGTCTGTAGCCATGTCCTCCCAATGGTGAACAGAGCTAGTCTGTTTTGGGGAATTTCCTGAAGGGCATAGGGAGATCCTTGGTAAACCCTGGCAATTCTACTAGGGCGGGCCCCCTCCTTTCACCTTGCAGGAACAGATTAATAGGTCAACATCATGGGAACCCAGAAGTAAGCAATAGGAGGGCTACTTTGTCGTCCCTGAGTCTGTTCATGGGGTAACAACTTCAATACATAGGAGGTGGAAAGTCAGCTAAATTCAGAAATAGAAATGTATAAAGAAACACCAGAAGATAACAGTATGGACAGCAAGAAGAAAGTATAAATATTGATTCAAATAGTAGTCAGGTAGGTATTACGATCAGTGAAAGGGCTAGAGCTAATCAGGCTAGAAAACTGTATGAGGTGCAAGGGAAACAACTGAAATGTTTGTATGCAAATACAAGGAGTCTGGGCAATAAAAGAGAGGAACTGGAACTACTGGTGCATGAAGTCAAAGCAGATATTCGAGCGCTTGCAGGAAAATGGTGGAATAGCACTCATGACTGAAATACAAGCGTTGACCAAATTAAATTAGAACCCATAATGCTTCATGGTACTGGTTGACCAGACTGAACGAGAGTGCTTTGCAATTGAGCTATTGATTAAACTGAATCAATATACTTTGCAGCTAAGCCAAAGACAAAGTGAACAAATACAGCCAGTGAAACCACAGCACTGGTGTTGCACTGACAGCGAGTATATACAAGAAAATGGAATTTTACTAAAACAGAGCTCTCACAAACAGAGCTATCTGAAGTCTGCAAGCCTGAACTCTTACAATCAGAACTATTAACAAGGAATGTAAATTGCTTTCCTATGGAATATTAATTTTTGTGGATAGAATGTATTGGGAAATCAGTTCTTATAAGTAAAAGGTTGAAAGGTATTGATTAAAATATGGGAATTATAGCAAGGGTAAGAATAAATGGAAAGGGTGCTGTGTAGCCAAAATAAGGAAGCAGTCAATAGTGAATAAGTAAAGCATATTATGTGTGAAGTCCTATTATACATGTTAAATTCTCTAAACTGTATAATAGGTAAATACTGTGACCTTTGTATGAACTCCTGCTTTCTATCTGTGCTGGAGAATGCAAGCTTAGCAAAAGGTAAGATACCATTAATCTTTGCTGATTTCTGAAATACTATGCCTGGAACATTCAGAAAAAAGAATCTTGTCTTGTGTATGTGCATCTCTATTTTTGTGTAATGTGTGGGGTCTGTGTAACTGTCAAAATGTAAAATATAAGCTATGTTGAAACTTACAATATATGCCCCACATACCAGGGTAGCAACTAGTGGTGCCTTACTGTCTGTGAGAAACATGTCAAAGAAAATAGGTAAGAAAGATGTATTAGGTAAAGGGATATAGGGAAAATTGTGAAATGCCTCCCAGTTAGGTATAAATACAGAAGGAGTAAGCACACAATTTTGACAGTTTGACTGCTACAGCTGCTGTCTTCCAGATGGGTTGGTAGTGTATCAGTTTTTCCTTTCTGTGTTATGCTGTGTTAATCACTGATTAATAAAGTTGATTAAGCTTAGCTATTTTACATTTCTAGTTACTGAATTAAATTGAAACCCCAAACACATATATTGAAGGGTATGTGCTGTTTAGGAGAGACAGAAATAAAGGTAAAGGTGCCGTAAACTGTAAAGAAACAAGAAGTTCTAGCATGAACAAAACAGAATCTGTTTGGGTCAAAATCAGTTTGGGGAAGGATTGTAAGAGAGGTTCTACTGGGATAGTGTTAGAGGCCGGCTACAGACCCCTAGGGACAGACTCAGATATGGATAAAGATCTGTTTAATATTATTAGAGACATAAATACTACTCAGAATTGTATCATAATGAGAGACTTTACCTTCCCAGACACAGATCGGAGAATAAATGCTACTAATACTGGTAGGGCCAAGTTATCTCTGGATGTGATAGATGACAGTTTTCTTCCTCAAATTGTCACTGAACCAACAAGAGCTGATGTAATTTTGGACTTGGATTTGATAAGTAGCAAGGACATCACTGGAGTCCCCATCATTGGAAGTGTTTAAAAACAGGATGGACAAACACCTGTCAACTATGGTCTAGGTGTCCTGCCACAGCACAGGGGTCTGGACTTAATGACTTCTCAAGAGCCCATCCAGCCCTACATGTCTATGATTCTATCACAGAAGAGTTGGTCATAGGAAATAATCTGGGATCAAGTGATCACAAGTTATTTACATTTAAATTAAATGGAAGGATAGTCAAAAACAGGTTGCCAACTATGGTTTTTTATTCCAATGGGCAAACCTTGGGAAATGAAGGAAATTTGTTAAAGAATTCAGCTGGACTGAAGAGCTCAAGTCTATAAATGTAGAGGAAATTCTTTAAATCAAATATATAAAAACTAACTGCATGTTGCAGTCCAAGCAAAAGGAAAATACTTGAAGGGAAAGTCTCCAGACCCAGCAGGACAAATAACTATCTCAGACAGGTTATTAGGAGTAAGCAGAGAGCCTACAGGTAATGGGGAAAAGGAAAAGGACCTACAAAGAAAGCTACATCTTGGAGGTTAGAAAACATAGAAATAAAGTGAAAATAGCTAAAAGTTAAGCTGAATTAACTCTTGCCAAGGAAATTAAAATAAATAAGATGGTTTTTAGTTATATGAAAAAAGAGAATAAGGAAGGATGAGGTTGGGCCACTGTGCGATGTTGATGGGGAGGAAATTAAAGATAATCTAGGTATGGCACAAAAATTAAATGAATACTTTCCCTCAGTTTTCAATAAGAATGATAATATGGAACATAGGCATGAAGGCAGGGTGGATAATGGAAATTAGTATACAGAAATGGAAATATCACATCTGAGGTGGAAGAAAAACTTAATGAGCTCAGACTTCGGGGGTGGGGGACAGGCAAGAGGGAAGAGAGACAGGATAATTTCCATCCCAGAATACTGAAAGAACTGGTACATGAGATTGCTAGTCCAGTAGGAAGGACTTTTAATAAATCTATTTGGGGGTAGAACCACATGACTCAAGCATAGCTAATGTCTTACATATATTTAAGAAAGGGAAGAAAAAGTGATCCGGGCAATTACATATTTATTAGTTGAACCTCAGTACCATGCAAGACTTTGGAACAAATTGTGAAGATAATAATAATTATTTCATGAGATAAATACAAAGGGGCTTGTAATGAACAAAGGTAGATCATGGCAGATTATCCTTCTTTGATTTCCTTCTTTGAAAAAATAACTGATTTTTTAGATAAGGGAAATGTGGTAGAGCTAATATACTTGAATATCAGTAAAGCTTTCAACATGGTGCCACATGGGAAATTATTAGTTAAATTAAAGAAGATGGGGATTAGTACAAGAATTGTAAGGTGGACAAGGAATGGGCTAAAGGGGAACTATCACACTAGATGGAGGTTACTGGTGGAGTTCCTCAAGGATAGGTCTTGGGACCAATCATTCCATATTTTTTATTAATGACCTTGGAACAAAAAGTTGGAGTGTGCCAATGAAGTTTCTTGATGATATGAAGTTGGGAGGTATAGTCAATATAAAGGAGGACTGGAATATTATAGAGGAAGATCTGGGTGACCTTGAAGGAAGGAGTGACAGAAATGGCATGAAATTTAATAGTAAGCACTTAGGGTCCATAGAATCTTTATGGATAGATCCAGAGAATCTCTATGGTTAGTAATTCCATGCTTGAATAATAAGAATATAGCAGTAGGGATATACTACCGACCATCTGACCAGGATGGTGACAGTGACTGTGAAATGCTCAGGGAGATTAGAGAGGCTATAAAAATAAAAAAAAACTCAATAATAACGGGGGATTTCAACTATCCCCATATTGACTGGGTACATGTCACCGCAGAACAGGATTCAGAGATAAAGTTTCTTGACACCTTAAATGACCGCTTCTTGGCACAGCTAGTCCTGGAACCCACAAGAGGAGAGGCAATTCTTGATTTAGTCCGAAGTGTAGCACAGGATCTGGTCCAAGAGGTGAATATAGTTGGACCACTTGGTAATAGTGATCATAACATAATAAAATTTAACATACTTGGGAGAATGGGGGGAACACCAAAGCAGCCCACCATGGAAGCATTTAATTTCACAAAGGGGAGCTACACAAAAATGAGGAAATTAGTTAAACAGAAATTAAAAGGTACAATGCCAAAACTGAAATCCCTGCAAACTTCATGGAAACTTTTTAAAGACACCATAATAATGTATACCCCAAGTTAAAAAAGTAAGAGAACCAAAAAAGTGCCACTTGTTGTGGAAAATTAACCACGCGTTGTGTTTGGATCACAACAGCCTGAGGCTACTTTATTCAAGCATGTGCATGCAGGGAGAGTCAGAAAGCCTACCTGCTCTCCCAAACAGGAACACACAGAAATTTATATATGTTACAGGCAATATTCAATTACTCATACTTCCTCATTAGTATTTTTTCAAACCTTAGCAGTCTAATACCTTATTAGGAATATAGCAAAAACAAGCTTTTCCTGTTGTTGACAGGTTATTCTTTTACAGTTAATGGTTTTCCTAATCCTAGCTGTTATGGTTACATTTCTTAAGCTGGGCTGTTGCAATTGCCTTACAATGGAATTTTCCTCACTCTCTTCTCATGCCCTCTTTCCACATACTCAGTTAGCTTGACCAAAGATTAGGCCTACCCAATTTTTCCTTTATACACTGTTGCTAAGCAACAAAGTAAAAGAAGCAGTTAAAGGCAAAGAGGCATCCTTTAAAAAGTGTAAGTTAAATCCTAGTGAGGAAAATAGAAAGGAGCATAAACTCTGGTAAGTGAAGTGTAAAAATATAATTAGGAAGGCCAAAAAAGAATTTGAAGAATAGTTAGCCAAAGACTC